ACTTTCTGTGGCTCCGTTTTCTCATCAGTCAAATGGGGGTGATGGTGGCAGCCCTGGCCTCAGACTCCCTCGGACGCTCTAATGAGCTGAAACATGAGTAGCGTTATCACAGTGCCTGGCATGGCACCGAGTTCAAGAAAGCTCTAGGAGGCAAGAGCGGGGAAAGAGGGAGAGAACAGGTCAGGGCAGGTGTTGAACTGACAAACAACCACCACAGAGCTGACGGCTGAAATTTCTCGATCGGGAGGAAGTTATTTGCGTCCCACTCTTTTTTTTTTTTTTTATCATTTTAGTGGGGGTTCGTAGAACTCTTCTCACCATCCATCCACCCATCCATCCACATTATCACTCTTTAACAAGGACACAACTTCTTCCGGGAAGAACCCTTTCATGGTCACTGAGGATGGGTTACCTTTAATGCTTTAAAGCCAAGTCCTGAGGCCATGACGGCATTTCTGACAGCTTCCCAGGGTGCTATTGCCCGTGTTGCCAAATGCAGCCTGGGTGGGCTTTCGGAATGCCTGTGTTATGATGAGACGGCTACGTATCATGGAGACAGTAGTCGGGAAAGGAGTGTTGAAGCAAAATGCATTCTCAGACTGTACCCTGGGCGAACCGTGGAAAGGATGGTGACCTGGGGGTGGGGAGGTCGAGAGGCGAGGAGGACATCAGGGACAGGAGAAAAGAGGTGGGGATGCCAGGCCGAGTTCCTGGCCATCAGGCCAATGAGATCGGCAGCTTCTTTGCAGGAGGCTCATCCAATTCCCACCGTTCTTGGAAAATTGGATTAGCAACTGCAGGTTGCAGTACCTTAAAAAAAAAAAAGTAGATATGTGGATGCAACCAATTCTTCCAGGCATATTCCTTGCAAAGGAAGGAATGAAAGCCTTACCCCAAGTGACATGCGTTCCAAGCCCCTCTCAAAATATTCTAGGTGAACCCAGAACCTAGGAGGCCGAGTTTCAGTTCACCATCCTGCATGCCTCCCCATCGCCTTCCTCTCCCGTGACTTTCGGGTTGAAATTGGACATGGCAGCCGCAAGAGCAAATTGTCCTTTGTCTTTCTGTTCTCTGAGTCGGGTTCCCCAGAACTGTTGGGGAGAAAGTCGGGACCACCATTCTTGCATGAGACAGGAAGTCATCAGGCTCACGGTTCCTATTCCTGTCGTTCCCAGGCCATTCCAGCGACCACGATGTCCTTGTCAGCAAGGAAGAGAGCTTGCTGCAACCACAAGACTGGGGTGAGTATGTGAGCACGCAGCCAGAGACATGCACTCCACTGTTGGCTAGAGAGAGCCCTGCCCCTCGCTCTCCCCAGGACACCCCCAGCAACTCCAGTGCCCGCGGAACCACGGGAGCTCTTAGCAACGCATCACTCTCTGGGATGGTTTCAAGAGCAGATGGACTGTGAGACCATTCTTTCTTTTTTCCTTAAGAATCCAGCGTTGCAGCTACCCTTCAGGCCCTCCCTCCATCCCGGGCTTCATCAGTCGAAAGGCCAGCCAAGCCTGGGGGTTTAGAAGTGTCAGGCAGGGTGATCAGGACCCCATAGTCCCAAGGCTGTGTGGTTGTGTGCAGTGTGAGAACCCCATAGTCCCAAGGCTGTGTGGTTGTGTGCAGCATGCAAACCCCACAGTCCCAAGGCTGTGTGGTTGTTTGCAGTGTGCAAACCCCACAGTCCCAAGGCTGTGTGGTTGTGTGCAGTGTGCAAATCCCATAGTCCCAAGGCTGTGTGGTTGTGTGCAGTGTGCAAACCCCACAGTCCCAAGGCTGTGTAGTTGTGTGCAGTGTGCAAACCTCATAGTCCCAAGGCTGTGTGGTTGTGTGCAGTGTGCAAACCCCACAGTCCCAAGGCTGTGTGATTGTGTGCAGTGAGTGTGCAAACCTCATAGTTCCAAGGCTGTGTGGTTGTGTGCAGTGTGCAAACCTCATAGTTCCAAAGCTGTGTGGTTGTGTGCAGTGTGCAAACCTCATAGTTCCAAGGCTGTGTGGTTGTGTGCGGTGTGCAAACCCAGCGTGGAGACCAGATCTTCCGTTCTCTCGTGCATCCAAGCAGTCAGTCAGACCGGGAAGGAGAGGTGTCCTCATCCAGTTAACTTCAAGGAGAGGCGGTCATGGTTTTAAACATTGTGTACAATTCCTCTGAACATCAACAACCTAACCCCCAAACGATCCGATACAAACAGACTGTGGCCATGGAGTTGATTGCGACTCGTGGGACCCACGGTGTCACAGAGTCGAATTGCTGCATGGGTTGTTCTTGGCTGTGAGAAAATCTTATGGCAGCAGACCCCCAGGCCTTTCTTCTGCGGTGCCTGGGAAAAGAGATCAAACCTCCAAACTCTTGGTTGGGTCTAGATGGCCAACCATTGACATCACCTAGGGACCTGAGACCTGTACTCGTTCCAGAGGGGTTTCAAAAACTTTGTGAGAAAATGGAGTTTTTTGGGGTCCCCCAACCCCAGTCATATGTCCCAATTTGTAACTTGGTTACAAGTCAAGGAAAGGAACAGGTATTGAGGAGCATTGAAGTGTCACTCAGCTCCAAATGCACCATCTTATTTAATTCGCTCCAAGCTCATGCAAACACATGACAGCAGGTAGCTCAGCTCTTCCGGTGGGTCCGGCCAAGTGGCAGCGACTCCTCTGTCTGTCTTCTTGAATTCATACCCAACCCAACTGTGACCTCAAGATGTGGCACAGCAGGGTGGCTGAGGGGGCAGTGAAAGTGCTGCAGAAGCAGCTGCGCTGGGACAAGGTCACGGACATGTCAGGAGACCTCCGCCAACGGCTCTGCTTGATGTTTCAGATGCTATTCTCATCCCTGACGAACGTTCTCACCGTCGTCGGCGCCGTGTACTGCATACTGGTGTCCACCCAAGCCCTCCTCGCAGGACCTCTCATCTGTAACCCTCAGCACAACAGTACCGCCAACTGCAAGTTTTCCCTGAAAGACCTGGAGTGAGTAGCTGCTTTCCATGACCTGGTCCTTACTGTTGGCCCAGTTAGCACTGTGGGCTGTAGCCACCAGGCCTGTTTCTGTTTGTTTGTTGGGGTGAACTGGTGCTCGGGCATTTAGCATATGCATTCACATAGGAACAGTCTCCTCTCGAAGTGGCCTAGCTACGGTCTTGGAATCCTTAGGATTCGCTGGTCTCTGCTGGCTTATGTGTGCCCTTTAAAGATGCCCTGCACGCAGGGAAGCCTGTGACAGCCAGGTCTCGGCGGGGCTGCTTTTCCAGGTCTTGCACCTTTGACAGGGCTGCCTCATGATTTTGCATGGCTCCCCGTTAGCGGAACGATCTGTGTTTACCTTCTCTGACAGGTTTCTACCTGAGCCAGCTTCCATGAGTTTTAAATGTTTACAGAGAGACATCCCCTGCCCCCACCCCCACCCCCCCCAAAAAAATCCAGAAAGATATGCCAGAAATTTAACTTTGCTGTTTGGAGAACTCCTGTGGGGAGTGAAAAGTTCATTTGCTCTCTGTGCTTCGGAGGTAACGACATTGGCAAGCACATGCTCCCTGTAGGTCGAGACTTTTTTTTAAAAAGGAAGAACACACCCAGTCAGTGAAACCAAAAGCCTTGCACATTTGCACAAAGGGAAACCAAGCAGCCAGAGAGATCAGCAGATGTACCATGAACATGCTAGGGGCTCGACACTTTGAACCAAAGCGCACAAGCCAGGTGGTTAGAAATAACGGAAGAGTTTTACCATGTATTCCCCATCTTCTCCATCATCTTCCCGCTGAACAAGTTCAATAAAGCTTACATAGGTAAATGGTTTATTTAAATGATGTGGTGGGACCACCTGAAAGGAGTCCGTGTGGTGTGGCAGAAACGTGCTTGGCTGCTAACTGGAAGGTCAGGGGTTTGAACCCACCATGGACTCTGAGGGAGAAAGATGTGGCAGCTTCCGTCAAGATGAGACCTTTGGAATGACCATCTAGTTGCTATTTTCATACTCTGTTTTTTTTATGACATGGACTAAGGTCCACCAGGAATGGCTGTGTCTCCGTGAAGTTCTACCCTACCCCCACCCCTCATTGTTTGCATAGTGTCCAGTCCCCTAAGCTATGGATTAATACAAGTCAACGATCCATGCATTTTAGTCTTAAAAAATATTGTCCTACACCTGTGCACTTTCCTTTTCTCAACAGTATTTAAAATTCTCTACCATTGGCTAAATGAATGACACTACTGACAAAATTACCACATACCCCAGGAGGATGAATCATAATGTTCCCTAATAAAATGATAAGGATGTTTCTAAAGTGAACCAGGGACATAAATAAACCATAGCGATATGAACGGATTTTGAGTTTGCACTTAATCACAGCCCTAATGTAAGAAAAATTACTTCTTATGACGTGGCCCTACTCAATACTTGCCCTCATGAATATATCACTGAAGATATGGATGTTACAGCAAAGTGTGGTGAAGAAGTCAGATGGTGCCCAGTGGGCAGAAAGAATAAGCACAGCAGTCTGTGTGATTCAAGGTTTGTGAAAAATAAAATCTAAGAGGGAACGATTGTGAATAATAAAATCAGAGGCGGGAACGGTGCTTAAGTTTTCAGTATTCCGTTTGCAGAAGGCTATGGATGACAGTGAAAGCCCCCAATCCATTTGTTGGGTCCCCACGTCACTGCACCTCTAGTGAATCCCTTCTGGTCATGGATAGCCTTGCTGTCGGACAGAGTGCACTGGACAGTGGATTAATGCAGAGTCCATTAGGTTAAAATGGAACACCCTATCATTTGTTCTTCCTTTGGACTCATTTACATTTTTTCTAGTTTTTAATAGTTTCTTTACGATTGAGACTTTTCTGTTTCATTTTGTTGTTAGTTTTCTTTTGTTTGTTTTTCATATGCTTTTATTTAGGAAATCCAGGATAGGTATACGTATGGAGATAGTAACTGGATTAGGAGTTTCTTAGGGTTATGGCAGAGGAAGTTGGGAGAAAATTGAGAAGCTAATAATGTGCATAAGAAAGAAGAAGGTGCTATAAGATTTCTTGGGGGTAATGATTGTACAACTCTTTTCAATATGATTAATTGTAAAAATAAATAGATGACTATACAAGGGAGTACCTCCCCAAAACCAATGCTCATGTGTCTTTTTGATGTGAGGAGGATAGTGCATTTGGAGTTCGTTCCACCAAGTCAGACTGTTAATCAAGCTTTCTATTTAGAAATTCTGAAAAGATTGTGTAGCAGTGTGTGAGAAAAAAAAAAAAGGCCTGATTTGTGGCAGAGGGGGTTTTGCCACCATGACAATGCCCATGCTAATGCAGCCATCTCAGTGCACCCGTTTTTGGCAAAACACCAGCATGACTCTCTTGCCCCTCACACCTTACTCACCTGACTTGCTCGGTGCAACTGCTTCTTGTGTCCACAAATGCAGAGGGACATGAAAAGACAGTGATTTGATGACATAGAAGAGGTGAAGAAAAACTGAGGGAGGTGCTGCCAACCCTCCAAACAGATGAGTTTGAAAAATGTTTTCAAGAATGGAATCGCAGATTTGACAAATGTATTAAGTGTAACGGCGAGTACTTTGAAGGTGATAAGGTTGTTTTGTTAAAAAGATTTAAATGCATAGCTTTGAAAAATAACAAAGTACGTTTTTTGAGGGGCACCCCCTCATATAACTAAACAACAACAACAAAGCAAAAGATTATCACCAAGGGGGAAACAAATAAGATTACAGTCTTTAAAACCCCAGAGGGCCGTTCTACTCTGACCTGGAGGAATGGCACCATTTGTAAAACTGGAAGAAAAGGACACAGGGTTTCATGAGCCAACTGAGCCAACAGGGTTCCCCTGACAGAGAAGGAAACCTTAAATCTTTGCCTCTCGAAGAACTGCACTTGTCAAAGGCAGGAAACTCGAGAGAGAGAGAGACCTGGAAACTCAGGGCCGTCCCACAGGTTGCAAGAAGGACAGTCAGAAAGCTCCTTAGACACAAGGACGGCACGACTTCATCTCACGTACTTTGGACATGTCACCGGGGGAGACCAGACCCTGGAGAAGAACATCATGCTTGGTTAAAAAAAAAAAAATGAAGGCGGGGAAGACCCTTGATGAGATGGATCGACACAGTGGCTGCAACAATGGGCTCAAACATGGCTGCTGGGCAGTGCTTCCTTCTGGGCTAAGGAGGGTGGCTACCAGTCGGAACTGACTCAAAAACACCTAACAAAAACGGGCACATAATCAGAACGCTAGTACTTGCTGTGGTTTCTGGGCAGGAGTGTTCACACACAAGCACATCTGGTTTGACCATCTGTGACTGTCTGGGCCCAACATGGGGTCTGGCTTAGTGTCTCAATGTACTTCTGCCCCGCCCCTTTTTGTTTTTCAGTGACTTTAATCTGAAATCCTTCAACCTGGAGTGGTTTCTGAGCAACTCTTGTGTGCAGGATGCTTCCAGTAACTCCAGTGTGGCCAGGGCCCATGGCCTGCACTTTGACTCCAAAGAGAAGATGTACCGGATGGTCCACTTCTCTGTGTTCCTGGGCCTGCTGCTGGTGGGGAGCCTGGAGGTCCTCTTTGCTCTCAGTCAGATGGTCATTGGCTTCCTTGGCTGCCTGTGTGGGGTCTCTAGACAGAGAAGCCGAATTGTCTAGTCACCGCTGATGGGAATAAAGTGGAATTGCAAGTGCTTTGAGTCATTGGGGGATTGCATTTCAGGTACACCCTTTGAGTGGTACAATGGTGGAACATCCTGAGAAAGCTGTGTGTACCATTCCTGGCACAGAAGATAGTGTTGGGGCCATGGTTCATGCATAACAAGTGTTGGTATTTGCTTACTGGTTTCCTGTGCAGAGGACCACCGGTGGCTGGTCCTGCAGAGAAAGAAACGGCTTTCAGTTTACCTGTGTACTATGCAAACTTTGTAACTATCTCTTTGTGTGTGTGTGTGTGTGCGCGCGTGCGTGCATGTGTGTGCGTGCGCGCACATATGTATTTGGGGGAAGAGGAAACAGGAATGAATAGTTGATACTGTCTTCTTGAAAATGGTGATGGGGGAAGGGCAAGCATTACCTACTGCCCCACCTTTTGGGCTCATGTGAAGGCTTCCTCTCCCCTGTACCTGCCCTGACCTGCAAATTGGGTCAAAAGACTTAATTATACTTTCACTTCAACGCATCCTGGTGGTGATGTGGGTTAAGCACAGGACTGCTAACCAGTGGGTAAGTGGCTCCCACTCACCAGCTGCTCGGATAAAGATGGGAAGTCTTGGAAACTTGGGACACTCGATCTAGGGTAGCTATGATGGAATTGGCTTGGTGGCTGAGGATTAAAAAAAAAAACCACCATCATCACCTTTACCACAAGGTATGCTGAATATAGTTGTCTTTAGATCCAATTACCAACTGATGGAAATATAAGGGAGAAGCTTTCACATAACCTCCAAGAGGGGGATAGTAGGTAATACCTGCCCCCACCCCTTTTTCAAGAAGAAAGGTCACAGGGTGAAGAAAAGATGGGATGGGTTGGGAGAACCGTTCCAGACCATTTGGTCGAGAGATGAGATTGAACCAGACCTTGCTGAGCATAACGGAGGAAATCGACATCTATGAACTAGATGTAGGGGCCCTGATGGCTTAGGGGGCTAATCATTGGGCTGCTAACTGCAAGGCTGTTCCTTGGGAGAAAGGTGAGGCTTTCTGCTTCTGTAAACATTTACAGCCTCGGAAACTCCCAGGGGCAGTTCCATTCCACGCTGTCCTGCAGGCTCACTAAGAATCAGAACTGCCTCAATGGCAGTGGGTAGGTGGATCTCTGAAGAAGCATTCATTTTGTAAGGTATGGGAATGATTTTTATGGTTATGCCATGAAAAATGCACATTTATGTCCTTGGGGGTAACTATGTTCCTAAAGTATTTCAGGGGGAAAGAGCTGGTTATTATATGGAGGTGATGGATACATTATGATTTATTATACTTTTTATTTCCTGATGTTTGCATTTTTAAAATAATAATAATGAAAAACAATACCTACAGCAAAAGACAAAGAGTTGGTTTCTGCTATGACAGTCTTTAAAAAAGATGGGATACTGGAAGGGTCCTTAACTTATTAAAATGTCTAAAACAGACCATATGAGGAAACTAGTGTTTTGACTGATTATTCCTGCCATTTATTTCTCTTGCCTTTTCTATGCTCACTCAGGAAGGTTCGAGGAGTAATTTACAACACCCACACAATCACTTTTGGGAGAAAGGTGAAGTCCCCTACCCCCATAAAGGTTCACAGTCTCAGAAACCCACCGCGGTAGGTCGACCCTGTCCTGTAGGGTTGCTGCGAGTTAATGGACTTGAAGGCAGTGAGTGAGAGATGTCTTCCCCCACCCCGTTTACCCTAGAGGGCTCCCGCCCTGTTCCCATGGATTCGCATTCGTCCACTTGGCCTGACTTAAATGCGAGAGGCTTAGAAAAAGTCCAGGGGGCTTCAAAAAGCTTGAGGAAAAACTCCATTATCTTCTAATTCTGGTTTCCCATGACTTCTCTCAATACTCATGTCCAAGTCGACTCTAACCCCTAGTGGCCCTGTGGCACAGGGAGAACTGGCCCTGCGGATTTCCAAGAGGGTCTCTGGTGATAAGGACGGGACTTCCTGGAAGGATGCACCACTGCGAAGGAACCCCGTTTCTTGGCACACTTTCCTGACCTTTTCTTCAGCAGTGGAGTTCTGCTTCCTCTCAACTTCTTCCTAAGGAATATGTGGGATCTCTCTGTTTGGGAGAAAGGCTATCACGATCACCCCTTGGGAGTTACTGTAACATTCTGAGCCAACCTCCCTGCCTTGAATTTGAGGGCCAGCAGATCCCCCTTGAGGCTGCTCTTTTGATCAGATCTTAAAAAAAAAAAAAAAAGGTTGTATTGCTATATACTTCACATCGCATACATTTTAATCATTCAATCATATTAAGACTTGTGTAATCATCACAATTTTAGAGCATTTTCTTCTTTCTTGTGTTCATTGTGGTTAGCTCTCCATCCCACCACCCTTAGGCAACCCTCCTTCCAGTGTCTGCCCCTAAAGAGCCACCTATTCCGGATTTCATATACAGAAAATCCTCCAGAACGCAGACAGGAAGCAAGCAAGCAAGCAAACAAAACCTAACGATGCCTAGACAAAACAGAAAGCAGGAAGTATTAAAAAGTGTAGATCACTTTAGATCAAGTGATGAGGCGTTACATTTTAACCGAATTACCCCTGCCACAATCCACCTGACAATGCTGACAGCGAGCTAGTCACTAAGGTCAGAGGGATTCACGGGCACACACTGAGACAGATGAAGACCAGGGTGTGTGACCGAGAGAACTTGTCTGCAGCCATCTACCGATCGGAGACAAGCTTAGAGACGTTTTATTTGAAATAAGCCCGTGCAGACGTGACCTAGAACCGAAGCAGCAGTACTTTTTGACCGACTCATGTACTTACTACGCACGCTTTGTGGTATGGATACCACGGGATGGGGCGGACACGAACTAGATTGACGGCCTCTGCTACAAGCTCGCCTTATGCTGTTTGCACACCTGGGGTCTGTCTACATTCCTGCTTGTTGAATTGCCTGCACGTTGCAGAGTTCAACTTCACCAGTCTCTGAGAAGTCGTGCCCACCCACCTACCCGGGATGAATTCCTCCTGCTGGAGGCCACAGCCACCTTCCCATGGAGATGCATACCTTGTACCGGAGGAAAAAGCACCACTCTGGCAGCCTAGCAATCTGGATTAAATCCAGGCTCTTCTGTTCACCAAGGTGCCCTGGCGGGTAATGGGCTACGTAGGGTGCTAAATGCAAGGTCAGCAGTTCAAACCCACCAATCTTTCCTGGGGACAAAGATGAGGCTTTTTGTTCCTCAAAAAATTTACAAGTGTTTTCCAAAGTGGGTGATACCACCCCCTGAAGGGCAATGGAATGATTTGGGGTGGTGTTCATGAACAGGCTGCAAAAATAGATGCTTTTTCTTGGACTATGAGCTGTAGTATAAGTTTTAATCGCTGGGGGGGGGCGGTCAGTGCTGAGTAATTATATTTTACTGCAAAGGGGGTGGTAGGCCAAATAAGTTTGAGAAGCTGTGATTGACAGCCTCAGAAACGGACAGGGGCAGTTCTTCCTCCCATCCTATAGGGTCGCTATAAGCTAGAAGGCAGTGAGCCAGGGCTGGAGGACCCAACCCACCAACAGAACCTCAGACAAACCTGTCCACCTGGGTTAGGTCCCAGCATGAAGAACTGAATCCAGGGTAACTGGCTTGCCTTTTACTCCCTAGACCAGCAGTTCTCAACCTGTGGGTCGAGACCCCTTTGGGGGTCAAACGACCCTTTCACAGGGGTCACCTGATTCATCACAGTAGCAAAATGACAGTTATGAAGTAGCAACGAAAATAATGTTATGGTGGTGGGGGGGTCACCACCACATGGGGAACTGTATAGGAAGGTTGAGAACCACTGCTATAGCACCGGCAAGGCTGACTTGGCTCACTTCCGGCACTGTACACATTCACCCACCCAAAGGGAGGCTCTTCGGTTATTCTAAGAGGGTCTGCTATCGCTGGGAAGGCAGTTTTGTCTCCCCTGCCCCTGCAGAGCCTTCAGGGGCAAGCCCCAGGCCTTCAGTCCAGTGGGGAGTGGGGTGGTGTTAATGATCAGGGAGAAAGACAGCATTTACACTTGCTTCTTTCTCCCAAGAGGCCTGCCTTCCCTTGTTTTGGCCTGGGGGAAAGCATTTCACGCCCACTTGTTCAAAGCCATCACCTCCATCTTGTCTGGAGGTTTTCTCTCACAGAATCTTTGTCATGTTCACACACACACACACACACACACATGCTTCAAAACATCCGTGGAAAAATTTCACTATCTTTCAATTCCATTTTCACATGAACTTTCTAGTCTCCAGCAGTCACGTGTACATTTAGTTAATGTAAATCCATCATTAGGCCATTATCCAAAAGTTTTTTAAGTGTCTCATGAGAAAACAAATGATAATGAACCTAAGCTGTAGGGAAAAGAATTTCCCCGTTATTGCCAGTGAGAATGGGGGGCAGGGGGGAACAGAAATACCAATGTCTCTATCCAAGGAGTTTCCTTCGACTGCCTTTCACTAGTGTCTCAGTGGGGCTATCGCCCGGGCTACTAGCTGAAGGCCGGAAGTTTGTGGCCAGAGGTCGCTTGATGGGAGTAAGATGAGACAGCTGCTGTGAGGACTTACAGCCCTGGAAACCCTATGGGGCATTCTAGTATGTTTTATAGCATCACTACCCGTTAGAACTGATTGGATGGGGTGTGGTTGGCTCGGTTTTGGTGTTTCACCCACACTGGGCGCCATGGTGGAAAGACTGGAGCCATGTGGAGGGCAGGATGCGGCAGCTAACAAGAATTCTATTGCAGAGGGAAAAGACTCTCACGACTTGATTTCTCATAAAATTTAGAAATGTTAGCAATGAAACCCTGCATTCGATGGCAAAGTTACGTCCCTCCACCAATCGAAAAAGCACCTACAATGCATCTGATGCCCACCCACCACACAGGGCCGGAGGTGGGAAAAGAGGCCCAGTAAGTAGCTCCTTCGCAGCCACGCATCAACTCCCGCTGGACTGGCTCCAGAGACAAGAGCCTCCCGGTCACAGGAACCCGGGGCTCTGCCTGGAGACACCTTCGCTTTGTCAGCTCAGATCTGATACGGGAGGTCACTCACAGCTCAAGCTAAAGAAATAAAATTTTTCGATAGACAAACACTGCTTTGGAGGACCAGTTTATTAAATACACTACAATTGTACCTTATTCCGCAGATCGTAAAATCATTCACACCTGGGCCGAGTAGAAACGCATCACAGAGAAAACCAACTGCAGAACTAAAACAAGACAGCACGCACTGCCCCCTAGACAAGCCGCTGACAGGTCAGGGATCACTGGGTTTTCCGCGGTCCAGGTGCCGACTGAAGACGCCCAGGGGACCTGGGGGGACTTGGTTTCCTTCCATCTGGCCCGAGACCAGGGCTGCAGGCGCGTTAGTGCTGGGTTGGGGACACAGTAATGGGCAGTAACAAATAGGTTTGATCAAGCACTGTCTGAGAATAAAAAACAAAGAAAAGAGCTGCCCTTTCTCAGATCCTCTCCTCCATCCTTCCTCTGTGCACCCTTTCTCCCGTTTAGAGAATCAGTCTTGAGGGCTGAGTAGGCGAAGATCGAGGCCTCTCACGCACACAATGGAACCTATTTACAGAACATGCACGGGCTGGGGGCAGGGTACACAGGTGTTCCTGCAGGGCCGGCTCCAAGGACACCGTGGTGGGGTGACACAGGCTACTTTTACTGCTGCAAACCGGGCCATCCTGCCTCTCCGGGAGAAACACATTTTCAGGGAACGGACTATATAAAACGGCATTCAATGCAAAGACAGAAACAAAGACGTTTGCAAATTGTTTATACTTCTCGCTGTTGAGCCAAATCTCTTTGAGCGCTGGGATTCCCTTTAGCGGCGAAACCAGAGCCAGCTGTTAAGCAGCCAGAAGGCGACTGTGATGGAGTACATGACCATCTCTCGCTTGGCCCGCTCTTTGTTCTCCTCCTCGAGCAGCTGCAGGCGTCTATTCAACTTGATTATCTGAGGGAGGAAACAACAGACGGGACTGAGGGGCCAAGGCATCGCACGGATCTCTTAGAGCAGCATAACAGTCTGTCAGAAAGAAGAACTGTAAATGCAACGTTTCATGTGCAGGAAAATTAACAAATAAAACTAAGGGGGAAAAAATGCCACCCAGATTAGCTTAGGTAGCTTTTCATTTCCCTTCTTCCAACTTCTGAGTGAGAGAGGGGACCATCCTTCCTTATATGACTAGACAGTGAGAAGTGGGCACAGCTGCACCTGCTATCTGGTGGGAAAGACCCATGTACGTGGGCAAGGCGCCTGTAACGCATTGCCACCAAGTTGATTCTGACTGATGGTGACCCTATAGGACAAAGCAGAACTGCCTCTGCAGGTTTCTGAGACCATAACTCTTTAGAGGAGTAAAGTCCCATCTTTCTCCCAAGGAGCGGCTGGTGGTTTTGAACCCCTGACCTTGTGGTTAGCAGACCAACCATAGCAGAAGGAATGTGGTCCTCCTGCCTCTCTCCATGCCCTTCTACCAGCTTCTTGTTACTCTGCCCTGCTGCTCCTCATTCATCTGCTAAAGCTGCCTTCCCTGAGGGATGTCCCTCAGGCCCCCCAGGACAGGAAGCTAACTGCACAGCTGCTAGCAGCCTCCCTTAGGTGGCAGCACTGGCCCTGCTTGTTGGTCCTTAACAGGAACTGCTGCTGGCTGAACAACTGTCTGGAACTAGCTCACATTCCCCCACTGGGGCAGCATGCAGCCAATGACTGACTATTCACTTTCCCCACGCACTGAGCACTCGCCAATATGTGCAGAGCTCCGCCCACTGCAGAGCCTCAAAATGAGCAAGCACGGGGTTGCTACCACAATCACGACATCAGAGAATCTGAGCAGGAGTGGACTGATGACTCCCTAACAGGGATTTCCTGCCATGGTTTCTGCAGATGAGACAATGATAACCAATTGGGTGCCAATGTAATGTAGCCTTCGAGCTCAGGGGAGACGTGAATACCTGTCGTCTTAAGGAAGCTGCATCTACAACCGTCATGTCATCTGAAGCAACTTCAAGGGATGTGTCCATATTTGAAATGCCGTACCTACCAGATAAGAAACAAAAGCACAACTGAGTGTTAGACTAGACCAAGAGAAACTGCAGGTTACAAGACATAGCAAGAAAGGCTCGAAGAACTGTTGAAAAAGCGGGCACTCCCCACAACGGGACTATCTGAACAGGGCAGGGGCGGCCAATCACAGCTCGGTACGTTACGGAGAAAACGCTCTGAAACTTTGGCAGGGGAACAACTTGTGACTAAAGGTGGCAGCAATGAGAGACTCGCTGGGCTGGCAGCGTGCCCTGCTGAGTGCCCGAGGGGCCCCCTAGGATGCAACAACAGGGGTGCCTCGAAACAACTCGGGTCCCTCACAGTCTCACAGGCTACAGACTCACTGGGAGAGCATCAAGTAAAATAACAAAGTCTAACTAAAACACACAAAGACAAGACTGATCATTTTGAACGTTGTCTCTTCCTTCCACGGCCTCATCTCCTATCATTTCTAGTCATTTCTTCTTCCCTGTTACTCATTTCCTCTCTTCTAGGCTCTCCCACAGAGGCCACTGCAAAACGCCTGCAATACACCTCGTCACCACCTTTAGCTTTGGAATTGGCTCAGAAACAAGTACAAGGTTGCATAGAACGTGAGAACCCTCGAAAGCCCTGGGACCAAAGCCAGAGGAAACGCCGGTAACAGCGCTGTCTGTCCAGAGGCTGTTATTCCTTACGGGGCAGTGGTCCTTCTAGCCTTGTGGGAAGCAAATACACACAAACCCACTCCTCCTCTGGTTGGATTTCCACGCCTTTGTTTCTTTTAATAATAGCTTTATTGAGCTGCAAGTTACAGACCATACAATTCACTTCATGTGCCTGTTTTATGTCCTGTATAATGATTTTGGCAGAATGCTTAGTAACTATTCTTAGCAGAATATAAATGAACTCACTCACGTACTACCTTCGAGTAGATTCCAACTCAGAGCGACACTATAGGACATAGTAGAACTGCCTCTGTGGGCTTCAGAGACTGTAACTCTTAACATGAGTAGAAAGCCTCCCCTTTCTTCCATGGAGCAGCTAATGGTATCAAACTGCCAACCCAATGTTTTTCCTGACAGTGCCACCAGGGCTCCTCCAACTGAAGTAAAAAGTTACTCTAATGAAACCCACCCAAAGTGGGCACCTGGGACCCCACACTGTAACAGTCCAAGCCAGTCCTCACCCGGCCCCCCCCACCTCCTGCTTTCCCCAGACACAGCAGCAGCAGCCTGTCTGGTGAACTAGCACGCAGTTTGCTGCCACCAGGGTCACCCACATCAGCATGATGACAGCTATGGACAAGGCCATACTGACTCTAGAACAGTCGGGCTAAAGGAACTCATTTTCCACGAGAACAGGGCGGAAATTCTATTCTCATGGCAAGCAACGATATCAGTTAGCAAATGTCTAAGTTTACAGACACGTGTTAATGATTCTTTTGATGATTAAAAGGAATTACTAAATGACTAGTGAAAACAATAAGGGCTTGGGACTTCTCGTCACCTCAGGTGCAACTGTCCTACCCCCGAGGGCACACAGATTATGAACGATCAGAAAAGCAGGACATCGAGAATTGCTTCAAAGGTGGAAGAGATTGGACCGGACATACAGAGTGAAGCACACACGAAAATGCTTACTTACAACCTCAGCTTCAATCCAGAGTTCACTAAGGTCTGGATTAGCTAAGGTGTCAGCTGTACAGAAAACCATTTGTAAAGGATCTCAGGCTTTTTGCAACAAAAAGAACCCACAGCTTTATAATCCGTGTTTTACACTAAAACCTGTGTTTACCAGAACAAAAATCCTGGAACGAATACACCAGATCTGCCTCCTGGCTGAGAACACGTCCACAGGATGAGCAAAGGGCCACAAACTCACAGGCAAACACGAGAGAAAACTGACCATGATGGTTAGGTGGGGAGTGAAGGTGGATGGGTGTGTGTGTTCATCAATTAACAGTCAAGGGAAACCAGGCAGCAGATAGACTGGAAAAATCCTACAGCAGGGGCGCTATGCTGACTAGCACCCCCACTTCCTGCCTCACTCTCCCAGCAGGGATGCTATGCCGACCAGTGGTCAAAGCCCTGGGCTCAATGAGGATGGTACAAGCCAAGAAGGTGTCCGATGCTCCTGTGCTTGCATGGCACCTTCTAGAGAGGCTAGCACACACAGTGACCTCTCACTCGAATGCCTCAGGTATCACATGCTCAAGGAGAATGCCAACGTGCGCTTTCCTCCTGCGGGGTGACCCCATGTTTTAAACGAGTGGACCCCTTGTCGCCACAGAGACTGTGGGGTGAGGGGAGGGAGCAGGGGGCAAGGGGTGTTCATAAAGAACAGGTACAGGAGCAGGAGCTATCACAGAGGCATGGCTACCACATGCACTGCCGAACACAAACAGGACTGCCGGTGGACCCCGAGGATGACAAAGATGGGGAATTACCTGACGTTGTCATGATGAGGAATAGAAGTGGCGGCAGCACACCCACCACGCAACACAGGTCTAAGGCAGGTGTTTGCGGGAGAAGGCACAAGACAGAATCAGGAGACAGAAGTAAATAAATAAAAGCAAAAATAAGACAAATCAATGTCAAACATGAGTACATTGTATGTCCTGATACAATATAAAGCTTGCGGATACTTGTAACAATCTCATGTCCTATGTCCTCCATGTTTTATGGCTTTCACAGAGTGTGCAAGATGCCAATTGATGGCGCCAGCGTACACAGCACATATACTCTGGTGCCTCTGTTTTCATTTAGGAATCCTGAGACGGGGCGGCTGTCTCTTCTGGATGGGGGGGTGGGGGTGGGGGGCGGAAAACCACCAGCAGCTTGCAAAGGAAACGTGTGGGGACCAGTTAGTGGCACCTGCATGATGATCGTGGTTGCTCGTCTGAAGTCAGCCACCCTCACCCCTACCCCCTGCCCCCGCCCAGTTGTTCTGAGCAGTGTCTGATATCTTAAGGAGAACCTTCAGTTCTTGGGGAGCTGCCCATTACAGATGCTGCAAGCCAATCTGAGAGGGTCGCCCCAGGAGACAACCAGGAGCGTCACACAGGGCTGAGGGGAAACTCTGTGGGGCTTGTCAGGGGTCTCGGCAGACGCTGGTCCTAGAAGACAGGGCCACCTTCTGAGAGAGGCCGTTAGCATGCCAATCAACTTTATTCTTTAAATCAGAAAAGTCAGCGCTTTATGTATGCCTGGTCAATTCCCTCAAAAGCAGTTGGCACCATTTATTAATCTGAGGGAGGAGATGAAGGGCTACAGGATCTCTCCAATGGTCTTCAGTAGGATTCTCTCTCCTTGGAATGTCTCAGATCAATTTGGGCCTGAATTTAGGTAGGAAGACAATTCCAATAGTCAGTGTTGAATTCTAATGGCCTAGACTTTTTCCCTGTAGATCGTCAAAACTGTTGAATTTTGACAAGTCAATGTAAAAGGAACACCTTAGTGTTTAGCTTCTATACTTCTTAAAGGTACCAAATCAAAGACCAAACTTATTGCTATTGAGTCGATGCCGACTCATCATAGTGACACTGTAGGACAGGATAGAACTGTCCCTGTGAGTTTATGAGACTGTAACTCTTTACAGGAGTAGAAAGCCTCATCCAGTGGTTTCAAACAGTTGACCTTGTAGTTAGCAGCTTAATACGTAACCACGAGGCCACCGGGGCTCCTTGCCTAAAGGGACTACTGGTGCTGAATATCTGGAGGCTACCGGACAAAGGATGCAGAGACTTTTGGGGAGCCAGGGGACAGCCATGTATTTTGTTGGCTTAAGAGCCTGCGTGAAGCTCATTCTATTCGCCTCACCCCTGTCTGTGGAATTAGGAAAACTGAGTTAAGCACCATCTGAAATAACACTAACAGGAGAATGGGGAACCACATCAAGTCACCAGCGTGGGCTTCCCTGGAGCCATTAAAAACAAAGCCAAAACCAGCTAAAGTGAGTCTGCCCGATTCTCCATATTCCACCACAGAGATTTCCCTCTCACAGGGCAGAGCAGAAAAGAATGTGTTACCTTTCACAACGCATTTCACTTTGTCTTCTTACACTGGCAACCGACACACATAATATGAAAGTCAATTAGACAGGTATTTGGCAAAGTTCATTCAAGTACCATTTCTATCATTAAGTACGATATAACACATATTCAAACAATCTCTTCAGTCTGATAAATATTATGCTCACAGTAGGTTTTCATGGTAGGAGTCTGAGTGGCAAAAAGGAAACCCAAAGCTACAAGCACCAGCATTAAGTTGTTAATATGTCTAGTCTGACTTAATGGAACATGCGCTAGTTGCTGTACAAATGTAAACTTCTGCATAGATATATAATTGGGGGATTAGGAATTACATGAGGGGGATTCAATGAACTTTTTGAAGTCCCCTCAGACATGAAATATTTTTAAAAAGACAAGTAGTCACAAATACAGTATCAGCTGTGACTGTACTGGTGGGTCTTCCAAATGACATATTTATAGGGATACTGGTAATAACATGTACTCCCCCACCCCCTACACACTGGTCTCTTAGTCTATCCACTTAAAACTAGTATAAGTTATAAAAACAAAACAGGCATAAAAACCATTAAGTCCCTCCTAAAAATAAAACCTAAGTGTGCTAGGCGTGTCTAGTCTGTGGATATTTTTTAAAAATCCCTTTGTAGAAATCAAGTTCCTCATTTAAAATGCTGGGATGCTGCAAAGGAGAACAAGATGCCCATCTCTCACAGGTGTGGGGTGAGGGGAGGGCATTTTCCTAACCAGTCACGGTCACTCCCTTTGCACTGACCAAAGACCTGCTCTGGAGCTCGTCCCAGGGATTCTGGTAAAATGTCAGTCTCTCAGTTTTACAAATGCACGGTCATGACCCTGTAAATCAACCTTTCTAAGCAGACCTAGGACTCTGCTTTCCCACTGAGCTCGGTTGGCTCGAATCATCATTGTTCCAAAACACAGCACATCACCCTGTTCGCAGAGTTCCTTAACGTGGAAAATCAAAATAGCTCTCATGCCCGGCCACTATGAGTCTGCACTCTTTTACAGTACAAAAGCAGGGAGCAAGCTCGTTTCCTACGTTTTCCTTTCTGCCAAGTAGTGCTCCTTCATGTCCATGTCCCTGGGGGACGGCCCAAGACCGAGGGTGAGATTTTACTGTTAGTGACGTTGGCAGAACAGCCGGGAGCACTAACATCGACAGAAGAAAAACAGGCACAGAGCAAAGGACGTCAGCACTGAGGCTGGTAAACAGTGGTGTCTGATCATCATGCAACGAGAACATTATCCAAATGTCACATTCCTATTGCTTGTATCTAAAGAGTTCCCATGGGAGCAATATGAAAATGGATTTACCACAATTATTTGATCTTGGTCAATGTTTAGATTGCTAAGAGACTTTAATTGAAAAAAAAAAAAAGAAGAAACCAAACTATCATTTTTTTTTTTTTTTTTCAAACTATCTTTCAATCATGAAGCCAACCAATAAAACGAATGGGAATTTCAGCTCCCAGGTGACATAATGCTCTGTGTCTAGGAGCAAATTATCATTCAAGGGACACTCCACCCCCGCTGGCATTATGTGGCCTCCCAGAGGCCCTCAAGGACAGCACTGCTCCCCGGGGTTTCCAAGGCTGCAGACCTCTGTGGACATGGGGCCTCATCTTTCACAGAGGCCCCCGTGAGCTGGGAGCGACCCTATGGCACATGCTTTAAAAACCTCACGTAAGTCATCGGCTCTCAGGGGGGAAAATTAAGTGACCAATTCACTGGAATTAGAGCTATGAATCAACTTTAGGGCTTAGAGCGGTTTTTCATAATAAAAGAATACAACGTACATTTTACATTAGTAAAGTTTCTGACCCAGTCATTTTGAACGTGAAGTTCAAAGGAAATTTCTATTTTGGAGGAAAAAAGAGTGGTTTTGTTTTTGAGTTCCAGAGTACTAGAATGAACTGTGTGTGTATGGAAAACTAATTTCAGGGTGTTGGGATTTAACAATTCCAGTGTGCTCGGATTCTATCGCTGGGTTATAATTTCATCTACATAGGATTTGGAAATAAGCCTCATTCAGCACTTTCGAGTCACCCAGCATCTACCTGGCACAGAGCCCTGATCACCAGCTCCTCTACAGAAGGGAGGAGGCGGCCCTCCTGGCTGAGAGTCAAGGTAAGGGCTCGCTGCTGCAGCACCAACGTGCATTAAGTAGGGTGGTGGTGGTGGTGGTGGAAGCAGACCTCTATAAATAGTTAAGTGACATATATTTTATATATAGTATCTTTCCAGGGCTTTTTCACTTCCCTAAACAAAGAATTTAAAGTCATTACCCATTAAAGTGTGTGTGTGTGTGTGAAATTTAGGGGAAAATGTGTGTGTGTGTGTGTGTGTGTGTGTGTGTGTGTGTGAGAAATTTAGGGGAAAGTGTCTGTGTGTGTGCGTGAACTTTAGGGAAAAATGTGGCCCTGAAAAGATAAACGATTAGTGCAGGGCTATAATGCATCTGGGAGCCCTGGTGGCACAGTGGTTATGCACTGGGCTGTTAACTATAAGGTCAGTAATTCAAAACCATAGTCACTTCAAGGGAGAAAGACAAGGTTTTCTATTCCCATACAGAGTTATAGTTTTGGAAAATCACAGACGCAGTTCTACCCTGTCTTACAGGGTCGCTATGAGTTGGAACTAACTTGATGGCAGTGAATTTTGTTTCTGGGTTTATCATGCAGCTTATTTAGTGGGGCGGATCAAGACTGAGACTAGATCTATATGATCCTCTAAATCTAAGCTTTATTCTCCCTTCACGGTAGCTAAAAGAAAGGGCTTCAAAAAGTTGGTGGGGAACTTCTAACATTTTTCAATTCCATTTTCCCAGAAACATTGTGAAGTCCCTTGTATATAAAAGCATTCTTCTTCCCCATCCTGCCATGGGCTTTTGCTCAAAAGATCTTACAGGTGGGTTCTGGGCCAGCAGTACAGACACAACCCCAGAAAAGTTCAGGAAACTCTGGTTCAGAGCAAGCCCAGCAGGAAATCAAGTTTACTTGAAGGGTGAGCTCACAGGCCTGGGACCTCTTTACAACTCTCCCATGAGCAGTCTAGTGATCGAATATGCCCAGCAGCACGACCCTCACTAACAGGTCTGCAGTTGAAATCAAGCTTCATGTATCTTTCCCACACTGTACCCTTTTCCCTATGGTCTAAATAATGTTTGTATAAACATGCAAATGTAGTAGTCAAACCTTATTTCCCAGGGACACCGTCAATTCGACACAGTGATGAAGCGAGGATACAGTGTCTGAAAGCACTTCACCCAAATGTACTTGTGCATCAAGTCTAAGTGTCCTCCGAATGCTACTAGATGTGCAAAGGGAGGCAAGTCACCAAGAGTGAAAAGTTTCAGCAATATAAACAGTCAAGAACCTCTGGGAATTCCAGTACAGGCCAGGCGAGGAGGAGAGAAAAAAAATGTCCCTGCAGTCACATTGCCCCTGCCTTCAGACCTGCTGCCTCTCCCTGTCCAGAGAGAGGAACTATCTCTCTCTCTCACGGCTGACTTAACCACCCACCCACAGGACAGGGCAGAACTGCCTGAGGGTTTCTGAAACTGTAACTCTTTACGGGAGTAGAAAGCCTTACCACTCTCCCTTAGAGCGGCTGGTGGTTTCAAACAACTGACCATGTAGATCACAGCCCAAAGCCTAACCACACCACCACCAGTGATCCTAACCCCTAATTCTACTAAAACCCAGTGGGTAGCCCTCGGTGGTCCCACACCCAAGCCCAGAGGGGAGCCAGGTCCTGAGAGGAGGCCATCAACATTGCCCATCCAGCTGACAGTCAGCAAGCAGACCGACCCGCCTGCTGACTGAAGGGATGCTCATGAGCCTGACTCCCGTGAAATGTGAATTTTGGACAACTGTTTCAGAGTCAAAGACAGCAAAGCAAGCGGTTCAAAGCACAGTGTCTTAGCAGGAGCCAAAGAAGGGTGCAAACATAAAAGGAAGACCCCCAGCGCTATAAATAAGGAGCCAAGAAAAACAGAAGCTCAAGCAGGCAAGAGTCACTGGGGGCCAGTCACCTGCGGCTCTCATCCAGCACATCCAAGACCTGCTGGTAGGCCCTGCGCGTGGCGGCCTGGATAAGCGACAAAATGCCTCGGGCGGAGGAGAGGTGCGCTCCGTCTTCAGGGAACCTATGGGGAGGGCAGACCCGAGCCTGTGGAGGCGATGGCGTCACACTGTTTGCGCAGCACAGCAAACGAAGAGAGAGAGACTCAAGTCAGATTTTCATACAACTTCAGCTGAGCACTTTCCATCACAAACCTTTTGGAAGGGTTTTAGGATTGTTCCACCTCCATCCCCCCACATATCCGTTACGGCCACCCATCACACGTTCCCCCAAGAAAACAGTCACAGCAAAGATGTTAATAAACATTCAGAATTGTTTTCCAAACCAGCTAGCATGCTTGAAGCTCTGGAAAATGTATCACTGTAATTATCAAAATACACAAGGGGAAAGGAGACCAGCTGAGGGCAGGGAACCTGGGTAAGGACGAGTAGGTTAGATTCCTAGCTTGGAGACACCATTCTTCTAAAGGCTTCTAGTGCAAGCCTTCTGAGCCGGTACACCCAACCTCTAGCCAACCGCATGGCACCTTCCCTTATGGAGGAGGGAGGGTCTTTTCTAGTAAACAGGGGTCAGACACATTTTAAACATTTGACTCCATGAACTGCCATCTCAAACACCTCACAAAGGCAAAGAAGCACGTGGATGCGTGATGAGTAAGTGACAGCACTCGGAAGGGGGATGGGATTCAAAGAGGAATCCAAGCCTCGGAGCATTTGCACAAAGCACTATGAGCACACACTGACGGGGAGCCTGCTTCCTCACACACACAAACACGGGCTGGGACTGCAGGGGAGAGACCAGGCAGGTTCTTAAGTGATCAAGACAGCAGAGAAACAGTGGCTGCGGTTGTTTGTTGACAACAGACATTATCATTTCTTCTTTTTTAGACTGGGAGGGCTGACCAATCTGTGAAGGGCAGGACAAACTCTCAGCTGAGGCTCATCTTGCATCTGAGGCCCAAGAGGACACAGGCAGGGTTGGGGGTGATGATGAAAGGCGACCGTCCTCCCCTTCTCTAACTTCACACGCATTTTCTGAAAGACCATAATGTTAGTGGGAAGGTGAGCTATTGTCATCTATTACTATTTCCAGAAATTGAAAAGAACAAAACAAATTCTTCGTCCCAAGGTTGTGAAGAACTTGGGAGGGTCTTGAACATTCTGAGTAGAGGCGTCAAATCTTGATCGATGAGAAAGTGATTTGTTGAGGCTGATTCATCAGACGGCTCAGGGCTGATAGTGTCAAGATAATCTCCAGCAACGCTGTGGACTTAGGCTCGTATCTGTCCAGAGCCTGGGAGTCTTCTGGGGATATATATGAGGGTGCTTCAAAAGTTCATAGAAAAATGGAATGAAAACAGATTTTTCCCCAACACCTTTCTGAAGCCCCCTTGTATAAACCAACTTATCCAGTGACCCGTGGTACGTGGGAAACCCACGCTGGGCATTCTATAGAGCCCCTCAGGATGTAGCCTACATGCCTTGTGCTCCGATTTCTCTGTAGGCAGCACCAGGAAACCAGACCGAGAGCAAGTTAGAAAAGGATTACCAGATGAAGGGATCAAAAGGGCCAGTTTTCTCAGTGAGTTCCTCTACCCATAACAGAGATGAGAATAACGTGGTGATCAGAGTATTGGAGAGATGACTGTAGTAGATTAAGATGATAAGTCTGACTTGAATGGTTAAAACCTTGTCACCTGATATCCCTTTTACTTTGTGCTTGTTCTGGTTTTTAATATTTGCTGGGTTTTTTTTCATATTGGGGTTTAGCTGTTGTATTTTGTCATTTTTGGTAAATTTCTTGACCCACTATGTATTTTTCTGTTTTTCGGTATATGAAACCCAGGATGGATGAATCTATGGAGACAATAACTAGAATATGGGTTCTGGGGGGCACAGCAGGGGAGGTGGGGGAGAGGGTAAGGAGGAGCTGATATCAAGGAAGAAGAAAATGTTTGGAAACTGATTGTGGTAGTGATTGCATAACACCGATTGATATGATTGAACTATGGAATGGTATGATGTCTGGATTAGGTGCTAATAAATAAAATGGTTCAAAAAAAGTGCCAGTTTTGCATCACTGTCAATAGAAAATTCATCTTTCAGCTCATCTTGATGGAGCTGCCAGCCTACTTGGCTAAAAGGGCAGAAGCAAGTTTTAAAGGACTAATCAATGCAAATTCTGCTGATAGGGAGCTTTTAAAAAGTCTTTAAATTTTGGGGCTTAACTGGAAGTCATTGCTTTATCAGTCAGTTTCAGTATATGAACTGGCTACATATTGACATGTAAAAGTAGAGCAACAATGTCGAATGTAATCTAAGTCCAGGGAAAGAGCAGGATGGATTTTTGTCCTTTACAAGTTTGTCAGAAAAAGGACTGTGGGGTATCCTCCTTGAAAGAAATCATTTTTCCTAGAAACATATAATAAGGAATTGCTCACTTAATTTCTAAAAAACTAAGCATTTCCCGTTCATACACAGGCCATTATAAAGTAGTCAAGCCTAAACTAACTTAGATTCCCAGAGAATTCTGAAGACAGGCGGTTGGGCTCTAGAGCTGATTATGAGACTGCTCCAAATTCTAAGATTCTGCAATCACATACAATTAAGTTTTCAAAACAAAAAGCAAAAACCTGCAATGATCCTCAACTATAACTTAATAAAATTAATGATGCAGAAAAGCCAATCTTCGTCAATAAATAGTAAAGCTATTTATCTTATCAAAGGCTAACCTATAACATACTTGAATTTCTGATACCTTCTCGAAAGAAATGAAAGTTGTCAAAGATGAGTCTAACCTTTTCCTTTTCAATCACTGACACGACGGAGCTTCATCGCATCAAAAGCAGAAGAGGCAGTAGAGTTTTTAAACTGCTGACCCCTTCTGAGTGTTGAGGGTGCTTCAAAACATTCATGGAGAAACAGCTGAATCTATGGAATGCTCCACGAACGTTTTGAAGGTTCCTCGTACGAAAAACCCTTATTGTTAGTGTTAATTTCCATCTGCAGATAAATTCATTTGCTACATCGTAAGATGACTAATATAATCCCAATTAGGAGCATAAAAATAATTTAGCAATTAAAAAGAAAAAAGATTTAAGCTATCTTGGAAGTCTTTTTCACAAACAACATGTTAAACGTGGACATCAGTCTGTCGCTGGCATCAAGTGGGCAGGGCGGCAGAGTCCAGAGTGCCTGCCTGCCTGGCCACCCACTCAGTCTAGACTCAGTGGCTGTATTTCTGTGGTTTTGTTTTGACAGGTAAACAATGCCAAAGTAAGCATATTCTATAAGAGAGATATTCAGAAGATTAAACAACTGTTAACTATTAGTATTTAATAAAAATGCATGTTGGTAATAAATCACTCTTTAGTTAGTGTTATAAACCAGCAAATTCTCAACTTTGCCTTTCTTCTCTTTGATAGAAAAGGTGAGACACAGTTGAAGATAAACTCAACGGCCGGTGTTTAGCACGCTGCATCATTAGTTAGCAGCCCACACGGTTTCCCATAAGCTCATGACATGAGGGCTTAGGAAGCAACACTGGCCAACACCAGCAGGGACATGCCAAGTCAGCCTTATGGGCATCGGCGGTTCTTTATGGGAACCTGAGTCCCAAGCCAAGTTACCTCTTTCCCAAGTGCTTTTCAAAGGAACACTGTTTCTCAAACTGTGAGGTGCTAGCCTTGTGTCCCTCTTCCCACTCAAAAAAACTCCAGTAAGGTGTAAAAGAAAAAATACGGTCAACGAAGCGAAGTTCAGATTATGTCGCTTGACATTTTAAATAAGGAAACCTTTCACTTTGCTGCCACTAGTCCAGACCCCTACCTAGCAGTCCAGGAGATAAATTGCAGGCTGACAGCAAGGCTTCTCCTGTTGCCACACTCGCCCCCATTTCCTGTGTTGTGTGGTGGGGCGGAGCCCTGGATGGGGACATCAGCCATGCCCACACACGCAGAGATTGGAAACAAGGATCACAAGAAACTTGTTCTGGCATAATTTTAACTTACAAATAATAATTTTTTTAAATGTCCAATGACAAACCACACTTAAGGCTTCAATCTCCTTCTGGGTCAAAATAAGATTTGAAAAAGAGAGTGTGCTGAGATCAGGGAAAGAAAAACGGGATCCCTGAGTCAAGCGCGAAAGGATCCAACAACCAAAGGGACCCGGAGAAAAGGGAAGAGAACTTCTGCTTTGTCTCCGTGCTTACGTTCCCCGTTTCCTTCACTGCCGTCCAGTCAATGGCGACCCTACAGGACAGGGTAGAACCGCTCCTGTGGGTTTCCGAGAAGACTGTAACGGTTTAAGGGAGTAGAAAGCCCCTCCTTTCTTTCGAGGGGTGAGGGGTGGCTGGTGGTTTTGAACTGCTGACCTTGTGAGTAGCGGCCCAGCTTGTAACTACTACACTACCAAGGCTCCTTACTTTTTCATTAAGAAACCCCAAGTAATACAAAACTTCCTTTGCTGGTCGAAGCTATTTTTTTCCTTAAGCAAAGCACATGGCTGACAGTTTGAGAACATGTGAAACAGGTTCGAAAAGCCAAATGGTAAAGGGTGCTGGGGTACTAAATGCCAATTACGCGGTGGGGTGGATTAGTACAACATAAGCCTGCAACATTAAAACACTCCTACTTGTGAAAAGCAGATCAGATGAAATCTTACGTGTACTCCGGTGCAGAAATCGGTGCCTGGAACCTTGACATTTTATTTCTTGGGGCAGAATCTGATCTGTGCCACCTTAAATAATAATTATGCTTCTTTTACATATTTGGCTTTTATACCACAACAAAATAACTAGAAATGATTCTACTGGCCGGAATTCATTCCTGTGCCAATAAATACCCACACCCGCTTACCGTGGAGTCCCCCTGACTCACAGAGCCTGGAGGACAGAGCAGAACTGCCCAAAGGGTCCCCAGGACTGTACGTCTCCATGGGAGCAGACTGCCGTCTCTTTCACCCAAGGAGGGAGGGGCCGGTGGGTTCCCACCTCGTGATGCGCAGCTGAACACTTAACCACTGTGCCACCAGGGCACCTTGGTGCCAATCATTGACAAAAACTTACCCTATTGCCTCTTGAAAGTTAGTTGAGAGAACAGAGGCAAGAGCTCCTGCTCTAAGACCTTGTGCACGACCATTCTTAAAGCCAAGGAATAAAAGAAACCAGGGAGAGGGGAGGGCAGGCAAGGGTCCATGCACAGCCACTGGGAATCCAGCTCAGGTTACAAGAGAAGACTGAGGCAGGGAAGGCAGCAGAGCTCTACAGAGTACTTTAGCAGCTGTAAAATGGGGCCATACCGTATTAATGTGTTCTACCTAACCATAGTAACCACACCGAAAGCAGAATATATGCTCACCAGATAAAACTCCTAATGAAGTGAAAATAGTCGATGTTAAATCTAAAAGATGAATTCAATGAGAAACTGCAAAATTAACCAAGGCAAACTTCATCACGAGTAAAAACAAAACCCGCTGGAGTAACTTAGCATGTCACCGTGAACCTGCACAGTCGGACAGTCACGTGCCTCTCACTACCAGACAAGGCTTTGAACTCCCCCAGTGAGCGAAAGATGAGCTTTCCAGCCTACTGACCGTTTAGAGCACGTCCTAGACAAGAATGGCACAAGCAAATCAGTGTCAGCGGGCACAGGCCATCACCGTTTCTGCTGTGGAGGCACGTGGGTGACTGGGTGAACTGCAAACACACCTGTCAGGAACCCATCTGCCCAGCACTCGCCTCTCTGTCCTGGCTTCTAGACACCTACCTGAGAGTGGCCCCTATTCTCAGCTGTGAAGAACAATACGATCTGCAAAAGCCAGAACCAGAGCAAGGCAGAGACCTGTCAGAAGAAACTCCGAAACGGGCCACAGAAAAATGGTCAGCTGCACCTTGTCAAGGATGGGGCGCTTGGGAGACTTGGAAGGGCAGGGCACCCTGCTGTGTTGTGGCTCTCACACGTGTCAGCTGTACTTTTTAAGGTAAAAGTGGGACGCTACATTAAGCCAACTCTTTGTTTCATGAACGTGAAATGTCTAAGTCATATAGGACATAAACAATTAAGCCACATCTTTTCAATTAAAATTCTGTAAGAAACAGTTGCCTTTAAAATACTATACATAAGAAATGCATAAAGCCACTTCAGCGATTAAGGGGCCTGGTGACACAGGGGTCGGCATTGCGTTGCTAACTGCAAGGTGGGTGGTTGAAACTCACCAGCTGCTTGGTAGGAGAATGATGAGGCTATCTACTGTTATAAAGATTTACAGTCTCAGAAGCAGTTTGACTTTGTCCTGTAAGGTCACTATGAGTTGGGGACTAACTTGTCGGCAGTTGGTTTAGCCAAAAAGTATGTGGCCTTTCCATCATATTTAAATTTGGAAATGTTCTAGAGAAATGAACTAGGCAGGTCTGCTGACATCCCTGGTTAACTTGAGGGGGATGTATCATTAGTCACATAGAATTTGTATTATTCATGGTTGCATCTTTCAGGTTAAGTCTTCTCTGAAAGAGAGGATGATTCATTTGAACTCTATCCTCCTAGAGGACCCTTCAGACTAAGTGTAACTACTTTAGGAGAGATTTCAAGGCTCTTGAAAAAAAAAAATCAGAGAAATTCAATGTCTTCTTTGTATCTAACATAAGGAAACAGAGTTTCCGTAAGACAAGCAGAGCATTTCCAATGAAGTTAGAAATTCAGTGGTTGATTGATACACCATGAAACTTGTTCATAAAACTTCTTTGAAAGGATAAAAGTTATGAAGATCTTTTTCACTGAGATATTAAAGGCCCTCCTCCCCTCACAAGCCCTGTTCTTCAGTGAGGTTCAAGTGAGAATTCACCACCATATAATACTGATGTGTAATGGTCTAGTTGTGATGTTCACACATTTAAATTCTCTGCTCTTAACTACATCTGCAAGCTCCAAGTTTGGCATCACATATGATTTGCAAGAAACTCATGAAAAATGACTGAAAAACTAATAAAAGAAGACATCAATTTTCATACACACTCTAAAACCACCTATTTAAAAAGGCCACTGTCACCCATAGGTGTGTGATGTAAAATGTTTACTGCTTTTCAAGGGATATTTTACTTGTAAAGATCTAATTTTAATAAAGCAACAAGCAGGACTGGCGTCATCTAAAAGACTTTATAGTAGTGGCTTTTAATGAGGGTATAATAACAAACACATGAAAAAGAAAGGCTTGTTGTCTTATGCACAACACACTCTGATTTCTTTGAGAAAAGGAAAGAGACCTACTACTTCAATGAATCAATATTCCTGGGGTGGGGATCAGGATCTATCTTCCTAGGCTCTGTTATTTATCATGAAAAGCAGGGCTCGAATTCTATGACTAAGCGACTCCGCTCGAAAATACAAACATGCTAGTCTGTGTTTTCCTCGTGGCGTCCCAGGAATGTTTACATACATGCTAGAAGAGCACATTTTGAGGTTGGATGCAGCTGAGCACATTTTGAGGTTGGATGCAGCTGAGCACTTAAACATTTATGGATTTGTCACTTGGAAGTGATTCTAAGAACAAATTGTACACAGAGAGGAAGATAAAGCATTTTCACAATTAACAAAATGGCCAGCCACTAAGACAACAGAAAGTACTGTAAAAATGTACAACCAGTGGGGGTGTGAAACAGATATGCAACACTACTGGAGCTATCTGGAGGGCCATGGAGACACACCGCAAAAGGAGAAGACAAGGCAGGGCCCAGGGCTGAGGGGCTGTACTCACATGGAATCGTTCCTGATCAGCTGTCCATTCTGGCGGACAGCATTCTCACTCATAGAGCGCTCTCTCTTTAGCCTGCCAACTGTCCGCATCTGTTCGGGCACACAGAAAGGGAAGGGGAAGAGAAAAGCATTTGTAGGAGCTTTGTTGTGGCTCAGCTTCCCAACAACCTTCATCCGAGGCTGCTCGGAAAATGGGCATGGCATGTAGCCAAGAACTGCTACCAACAGAGCTGTGCTCAGGCCCCTACTTTCCATGAAGATAAACTCCAAAATGTTCACATACTGACAGCAGTATGTGAACAATTATTAGACTATCATTTCTAGTACACCTTTATATTACTTCTAAGAACAAATTTACAGTTTTTAGAGCCACATGGATGGTAGGAATGGGATGTATTTGTATTGCACACGAGTGCTCTTGGCTTGTGAGATTAAGACAAACCAGACCTGGTCAGCTATCTGGAATCGTCCTGGCTTCATAGCCTTGGCATCCCAGACTGGGCCTCATAGAGGAGCTCCCAGCCCACCTGCTCCTTTTTGGCCTCCTCCCACTGAAGATGAGATCCACGCTCCTGACCTTAGACTTAGACTGGGCAGCCTGGGACTGCTGGAGGAGTGAGGCAATGAGCCTCAAAGCTAGGTCAGAACCAACCAGCCTGCAGCTGCTTTGATTTCTGGGAGGAAGCCCATGTGGAAACAGGGGAAGGCTGAGTGCAGGTGTACCAAGCTGAGGTCCCAGACCATGGCAGGGATCCACTACCCCATCAGAGGGTCTGCTCCTGATGGTACACTTCCCCCACCCCCACTGGCTGGTGTTCTAGAAAAGTGTTCTAGTGGGGAAACAAGCTCTCGCCAAGGAGCCTGGTGAAAAGTCCGGATGTAGAGTCCCTGAGTCAAAGAAACGGCTGGTGTCATTGTACATCACTAAGCTGAGGGTGGCCAGTCACCCTGCAGTAGATAACCCACCACTACCATTCCTATTTGATTAGGACGTGCTTTTTTGAAAAGTACAAAGAGATAGCTCTGATAACTTCATGGCAGAAAAACGACCAACAACCATACATACTATAAAGAGCAACTACTCTGTGAATCAGTGCACTCTAACAGGAATTTTAAAATGAAGGTTTTTTTTAAAAACAGAAGTTTCTTGGTTTATAAAGTTATCATCAAAGCAAAATTAAGCCAGTGTCTCATGCCACAGAAACTGAGTCACCCACATAGTATGTGATTTCAGTGCATGGTTTACATTTCATTGGGAACCATTCAATCTTCTAAATGAGAAAATCTATAATTTCTAAAAAGAGAAAAGGAGTTGACTGCAAGTCCACAGCAAGAAAGCTTCAAAATGAAACACAAAGAACTCAATTCTCAACAACTGAAGTCCATGTGCAGGATGAGCACAATGCTTTCCTACTTCCGGCTGACAGCTCTTCCACAGCTGGATGTGAGCAGGGACCTCCTACATCGGAACCACTCCTGCTTTATGCGGCCAGCACTGGGATTATGTGGGATAGGAAGGATCCGGCCTATGTCCTCCACAGAGCCAGCAGTCAGATGATGCTCAGTCTACTAGGCTTTTCCCCGCTTCAAATGGGATTCTATTTGTACGTCCTGCATAGGGCCAACTTGCATAGTGTCATAGCCAAGCACATCCTGGGAGTGTGGAACTCACAAACCCAACTCAATGCCATCCAGTCGATGCCGGCTCACCCAGCCCTACAAGACACGACAGAACTGCCCCCGTGGGTTTCAGACACCGTAACTCTTCACAGAAGTAGAATTCCCCACCAAAAAGCGGCTGGTGGTTTTGAACTGCCGGCCTTGCAGTTAGCAGCTCAACAAGTGACCACTACACCACTAGAGCAACTGCCTGGAAATTGGGCAGCATGGACATCTGTGAAAGGGCTTCAGAAAGTTGGTGGACAATCCCGTTATCATTCCATTCTATTTCTCCACGAACTTTCGAAAGCTGCCTCCTATGTATCAAGCTTATGACCAACATTCTGGAGGAAATGACTGAAAGCATCCAGAATACGCTTATACTTCAAGTACTATATGCTTATGCAGATTCCTGGGGGGAGGAACATGCACTGGGTCTACTTGTGTATCGATCTATTCCCCTGACCTGGCCAAGCCTTCCTCTCCCTGTAAACCTTGCTAGGGTATCTTAGCATTCCTTCGTCCTCATCCTTGTTTTAATAGTTCAGTGGCACTCAATGCAGTATGACCTTCCTCCTACCTAAATCCAGACATGTCTATCACCCCAATAGGAGATCCTATATTCATGAAGAAATCATTCCCAATTCCCCACGCCCCAGCTATCAGCGTTCTGTCTATAAATGTGCCAGGATAGTCCCTACAAACGGGCTCATATGGTATGTGGTCCACTTTGTCTAGCTTCTGTCACTTAGCACAATGTTTTCAAGGCTCACCCATGCTTCAGCTCATGTCAGGACTTCATTCTTTCTCCAGGTTGAGTAATATTCACATCCTAGAGTCACCTTCCATATTTTGGCAGCGATTAGGCATATTGAAGAGGGTGTGTATATGTCATATTTTGCCTATCCATCAGTGAACAGACATCTGGGTTGTTTCCATCTCGGGGCTACTGGCAGCAGTGTTCATGTCGCAGTTTGGCTGTTGCTACTGGAAGCTAGTGGATAAGAGATGAGGAATGCTGTCCAATATCTCACAACACTCGAGGACAGTCCCCAACAAAGAATGTCAAGAGTGCTGAGGCTGGAGAAGGGGGATGAACGCCATGGACACTTGGTTCCCGGCATCTTATTGGATTGAGTCTGAGCTACCTTCCTTGTTCAGACCATTTCCTCAGAGCTGCTGGAACGCTGCTTCCTCCCCATCTTTCCCTGCTCCTTGCTCAACTCCTCTCCAGTCTGCAGAACTCAGCGTTCCTTTCCCAGAGCAGCTAGTAGTCATCAGCAAGCACCTTGGTGCCTTTTGACCAAGCAAGCTTCCAGAACGTTCTAACGGGCACTTATAAGCATGCTGCCCACGTCCCTCAGCAGAATCTTACATGCCAGGAAAAAGGTATATCCAGCACGGGAAGCTGCCTGGCCTCATTTCTCCTTGGAGACAATAGCGAGAGAACTGCCAGAGGCACAGGCAGTGCCATGACAGATGAAAAGCTAGGTCTGCACACTGCCAGGGAGTAGCCTCACGCTGCTGTGCTACAAGTCCAGAAGCTATAGAAAACGGTGCACCGGAGAAGTCATCCCAGTCATTAGCTTGCTCCTGAATCAATGGTGGAGGCAGGAGTTGAACTTATGTGGCCACTCTGCTGGGTTTAGGTGAGTAGGGATATTAATGTATAGAATGGTGCTTACAATGTCATAGTTACCTAGCGCTGCCATAACAGCAATCCTGCAAGAGGGTGGCTTTAGCAAACAGGAAATGATTTCCTCAGTTTCGGGGACCAGATGTCCAAATCGCAAGTGAGGGCTCGACACGAAGGCTTTCTGTCAGCTCTGGAGGAAAGTCCCCGTCTCTGCCTTTAGACGAACTTGATGTGTTACAGTATCTTTCTTCCCCCACCTCTGCTTCTTTCACTTACTTGCTTAAATCTTTTTTATATTGAAGAGACTAACTTAAAACACACCCTGCACAATCTCTTTAACAGACAATCCATTCCCACTGGGATTATCACCATCAGCAGAGAAGGTATGATTTCCAACACATTTGAGGGGGTACCCCCCAAAAACAGATTTTTTTCCAAAGCTATGTATTTAAATGGTTTTACAAAGCAACTTTATCACCTCCAACGTACTCTCCATTATACTTAATACATTTGTAAAATCTGCGATTCCATTCTTGGAAACATTTTTCAAACTCATCTGTTTGGATGGCTGATAGCACCTCCCTCGCTTTTGTCTTCACCTCTTCTATGTTGTAAAATCACTGTCCTTTCATGTCCCTCTTCATTCACAGAAACAAAAGGAAGTTGCACAGAGCAAAGTCAGGTGAGTAAGGTGTGTGGAGTAAGAGAGGCATGCTGTTTTTTTGGTCAAAACTGGTGAAATGAGATGGCTACATGAGCAGGTGCACTGTCGTGGTGGCAAAAGCAGTACCTTCTGCCACAAATCAGACTTTTGTCACATACTGTTAGGAAATCTTTTCAGAACCTCTAAATAGAAAACTTGATTAACAGTTTGATGTAGTGGAATGAACTCCAAATGCACTATCCTCTATTGTATCCAAAAAACAAAAACAAACGAGCATCATCTTGATCTTTGATTTCACTTGATGAACTTTTTTTGGGCAAGGTGAGAATGGCGTCTTCCACTGGCTTGATTGGTGTTTGCTTTCGGGGTATAAAGAATAGCACCATGTCTGTGTGTCTGTTTACCAGTAATGACCTTGGAGAAAAATGTCTGGGGCATTTCAGAGTTGGTCCTTCAAAGCACAGGCATGCTTCCACTCGATGCTCTTTTCCCTGGTCAGTCAGAACCCATGGAACAAATTTTGCAGCGATCCTTCTCACTCCTAAATCTTCCATTAAAATTTGCTGAACTGAGCTCCAAGATAGTCCAGATAACTTCCCCATCTCTTCAATGGTCTGCCATGAGTCTTTGAGCACAAGTGCACATATATGTCAACATTTTTGACTGTTCGGGAAGTTGACAGACGTCCATGACGAGGTTTGTCATCAATCGACATTTCACCTTTTTTGAACCGAGAAAATCACTCATACACTTGAGTTTCTCCCATAGTTCTATCCTTGTACGCAGTGTTCAACATCACAACAGTTTCTTGGGCATTTTTCGCAAAAGAAACAAAATTTCACAGTCATGTGTTGTACTCGTTGGCCATCACAAAAAATGAGGTGCAAGTGTAACTGCGTTCACAAAAAAATTCACTGTGACCAGAGAGAACCTTCCCAGGTGACTGACTGACTGGGCGGACTAACTCAGAGCAAGTTGGTTGATGCTTGCCTAGTGGGAAAAATGTGTACTTTAAAAGCTCCACCCAGCAGAGCTTTCCCTCCCTTTTTTTTTGGGGGGGGGTGGTACCCCCTTTTATTTGGGAGGGGGAGACTGATGGGAGCATATACGATTCAATCCACAGCGAGAAGCTTACTGGAAGCAACCTTTTAGCAAGTAGGGGAAATGGGAAAATGAGCTTTCTTTGCTTTAATCACCACCCTGCCTTTATAACAAAACTCAAAGCAAACTCACAGCCAGAGGGGATTACAACTCACAGCAACTCCACACGACAGGTCAGAATGCCCTAGTGGGTTTTCCTGAGACTGTTATCTCTTTATGAGAGTAGAAAGCCTCAACTTTCTCCAGAGGAGCACCTGGTGGTTTCAAACTGTCGACCTTGCAGTCAGCAGTCCTTTTTTCTTTGTAAATCATTTTATTGGGGCTGGTACAATTCTTATCACAAT